AGAGAGAGAGAGAGAGAGAGAGAGAGAGAGAGAGAGAGAGAGAGAGAGAGAGAGAGAGAGAGAGAGAGAGAGAGAGAGAGAGAGAGTTTAGAGTGGGGGTCGGTAGGGTGTGGGGGAGGATCCAGATCACGGCCTGGTAGACCCTTCCAGCAGGGGGCTCCCATTTCCAACCCTGTTCCCTCCGGGAATTTCTTTTTTTAACTTCTTTTTCGAAAGGGTGCCGGCCTTGAGATATCATCGTCGAACTGATTGGCCCCCGGTAACTCGGAATTTCTATATTTCATTCACCGGATTCAAACTCGGGTCTGCATTTCAAAAGCTCACGCCTGTACCAATTGAGGTAGGCCTGTCATTGAAAACCGGTGCTCGTTCCTCCCCAGTGCCGTGGAAAATGGGCCGCCGGCGCCGATAGCTGCCAGTTCTGCAGATTATGTAACTTGCCAGCCCGTCGGGAGCTTCTTCAGACTGTTTACTGTTGTTTTTGTCAATATCAAACTGGTCTCCACCCAAAGCTTCCACGGCCTTTTATTCTTGCGAATTCCAAACTCTACTTCGTTCATCGTGTACTTGTCTTTGAAAAAAAAAGAAAAAGAGATAAAAAATAGCAGCCCCAGGAATACTGCAGCAACATATGAATCCTGAGGAAAGAGAACAAAAGGTGGCGTAGATTGTGTACCAGGAATACAAAGCACACGGTCAACATGTGGAATACATAATTTTTAATTTTACCAACACATATTACATACCTTTCCTGCCACCTCACTGGGTCGGCCCTTGAACTTTGTCTTCGCAGTCTCCGGGTTCACAGCTGCATCATACTGTCATTCAAAAGACCACAAGACCATGCCGTCAGTTCAAATAACCAAGAAGAGTGAGACTTGTCATATTCCACAAGATACATCCTCAGGTGTTGTCAGGGGGAGGGAAGGGTAGGGGTAAAAGCATTGCGTGGGGTAAGATTTCCTGGGTTAGGCCGACGCCCAGTCCAGACGGACCAAGCCTGACAGACTGGGCCAGACGGACGGGGGAGGTCCGTCCGGCAAAACCAGGCGGGCGGCAAAACGTCCCAGGATTTTTATTATTTTTTATTTTTTGATGGGGTTGGACTGCGCTCGCTGAGAGGAGCCCAAATCCGCAGAGAAATTTGTGAAAGGCATGCGTGTGTGTGTGTGTGTG